TCACTTGTGTGAGACTCTTAACGCACTTTGCTGACATGCAGACTGTTGACTGTGAGGAGGCTGCAAATCACAAATTTTGGATGAACATTGCTTTTCATTGCTGAGGAAGCCCTTTATGCACAGCAGCCAGGCAGTCTCTCTGCACTCATGACCAGAGAGGTTAATGCAGAAGTGTTTTTGTCAGACACTGCATCATCATCACTGTCTGAAATCTCTACACAGTCTAACTCTCTTGCTTCGTGTTAGTATGGAGAGTGCAGAGCTGAGGCTGCAGCTGGGACGTTCTTGTCTCTCCTGAACGCCCTTCTTGCCTGACTCCCCCCAGCAGACTCTTTCCTTTGACTTTATTTTTTGCTGAGAAACAGATAACATCCTTAAAGTAGTTGTAGAGCAAACTAGGCACGGGGTATTGAAATGGGAAGAATGAACAGGTGGGAAATATAAATAGAAGTTAAAGAACTTGCTTTATTTCACTGTCTTACTTTGTGCAGAACTTGATTATAGACTATGCTGGTCGGAGGCCACTGCTCCTGGGGGGATACACCTTCATGGCAGGATGGGCCGTTGTCTTCATGGTCGCTCTGAGCCAGCAGGTAACAAACTTCAGTTAATTATTTAAGTGGAATAGAGTTGGGCTTTGCCTTTTATATGACTGGGGTGTTTAGTGGTGGCAAATAAGTGTAAGTGCCCTCACTGGTTTTCCGTTGGTCTCTGTGGCTGTAGACTCAGATTAGCTGGATGCCCTATCTCAGCATGGCCTGCATTTTCGCCTATATCCTGAGCTTTGGAATTGGACCAGGTCAGTTCCCTCAGTGTTTTCACTGAAACTTTTGGGTACTGCAGGGGCTTGGAAATGTGTTCAAGCAGCTTCTGGAAACTCTCAGACCCTCTTTAGCCACAGACCCTCAGACCCTCAAAGGAATGAGGCAATCTCCGGGAGCAGTTTTCAGCTGTTCCCCGGGGGCTTGCGCGCCCCTGGTAAGTCAGTGTTGTGCAGGGACAGTCTGTGCCGTTCTCTGCGTCATTTCTCCTTACAGCCAACTTGTGATGGCACTGGGAGGGGATTCTTGTCTTAAATGGACAACAAGGTTTTGATTCGCTGCCCAGACCCTTAGGGCTGTAGACCAGTATTTCTAATGCTTTACCCTAGCGATTGACAGCTACGTCATCTAATTATTTGCTTCCAGATACCTGGAAGCACAGTTTCCATGTCTATTTCTTAGCCTACTAACATGCATTTTCTTGGCAGAATCCATGAGTTTCTGTGCTTGTGGGGGCAGTACACAGGCTATGTGTGTGCAAATGTTTGTGTGGTGTGTGAGTAGATGTTCACTTACATGAGTTTGAAGGCAGGCAGGTAAGAAAAGGACCAAGCTGCCAGTGTCACATGCCACATGAGTTGGCAGTAATTTCTTGTCCCAGTCCCTACAGTGCCATAGAGTTGAATTAATTATAAGCCATTCTCACAGTTGGGTCCTGGTGCGAATAATGTGGATTACAAACCCTTTCCCAGCAGTTCATTTTAACATGAGGGAGTTTGAATAATTAGGAAGTCCTTAATATTTAACCTAAAATTTCCCCACTGCAGTTGATCTCTATTACTACTTTTTCTGACATTATTGAATAATTTGCTGAATAATAATTTACTGTTCTTACATACTTCACGTTGGGTTTCCTTGTTAGTATGTGGTCTCTTGTTTTTTATATAATATCAACAGTATTACTAACATTCTTGCCATTTCTATTTCCAGCTGGTGTAACAGGAGTTCTGCCCACAGAAGTTTTTGATCAAATGTCCAGGCCAGCTGCTTACATGATCTGTGGCTCTCTGCTCTGGTTCAACCTGTTTCTGGTTGGAACAGCCTTTCCGTTCATTGTGGTGGGTTCCCAAGGCAAAGCAATCACCTGCAGCTCTGATAGTGACCAGGAAAAGAGACAGGGCCTGGAATATCGCAAGCTGCAGACACACAGCAAGACAGCACTGCCATGAAAAGTATCTTTATGAGGAAAGTGGTCAGAACTCCTCTAAACCAAACTTCCTCCATGTTCCCTATGGTGATTTCTGATGTGAGACTGAAAGCAGATTAATTTGGGGCATGGATGACTGATATTCCTCCTCTGTCCTCAGCTGAGAACAGCTGGGACTAGAGATGTGATGTAATTCCCCTTGGCCAGACCCTGGCACCATTCTCTAAGGTGATTCCTGAAGTGAAAGGAAACAGAACTCCACAATATCCAATCCTGACTTATTTCCTACTGTAGGTCCCCATTCTGTACAGTTATATATAGAAAGACAGAAAAAGGCATTTTGAGATACTCCTTTTACTATGTCAAATCTCCCAAACTATGCCGGGGAGCTGTTGCATCCAGGCAAGTGAGGCTCTCACCAGGGTGCACAGAAATACTCCCCGGGTGATGTTGGTCCATGCAGGAACAGGGATTAGTGGCCTATTTGTCATCATACAGAGTGTCACCAACACTGTCTTTTTTTTTCCTCCTCCTCCTCAGAAAAGTCTAGGACATTTCTGCTACATCCCATTCCTTGTGGTCTGTATCTGCACTGCACTCTACGTTGGGATTTTCCTTCCAGAGACAAAGGGAAAGTCCTTCCTGGAAATCTCGGAGGAGTTCAAGAAACGGAACTTCAAAGCTCAGACCCATGCTGGTTTTTATAAAGGCCCTGAAGAGATCAAATCCACCGTGCTGTAGCAGAAGAAAGGAGGATGGTATCTGGGGGAAATTCAGCAGTGGCTGTGTTCTCTTGCAGGGACACAAAGACAGAAGTAGGGTTAGGGACAATATATTCCTCTTAGGTTCTTAGGTGCACCTGGAAAAGATATACTTGAACTGATAAATCCCAACAGAAGTTTAATAAACTGTTTTAAGTTTTTAGTGCAAAGTAGCACATACATATTTTAGAATCTATATTAGAGAGTGACAGAATGATGCCTTATTGTCTTATCATCAAACATCACCATGCAATGCTTTAGCAAATTTCTTCTTAATTTCCTCTATATTTCTCCTCCACCCAAACAGTAACTTCCATCTCAGAAGCCTTTCTTTCCTTGCCCCTGAATCTGGACTCTCTAGCATAAAAATTAATACAATTAAGTTCTGATTTCAGACACCAGATGAAATTCTCAGTACCTTGTCTTGGTGCTCCCATTGTTTCTGTTATTAAGTGATTTCAAATAGACCCCTACTTGTTGAGCAATAGTGAGCAGTTAATTATTTTCAGCTATAAAAACACGTGACAGATGGATTAGGAAGAAAGCTTCTAGTACTTGCTAAGTGGCTTATTATACAACTGACTTGTGGGCATTGTTTTGCAGACTATTTATTCTGGACTGGTTTTCTTCATGGCTTGTTTGTTGTGTTCCAGTCTTATGTTGTAAAGCACAAGTAATTCTCTAGTCCAGTTTGTACTGCTCTCACAGACACTGCTGGTGCCTCTTGTAGGGTTTTACACCTGTGCTCTGCTAAGGCTGGAGTGTGGTGAGGGGCTCTTATGGCAGCAGCTGATTTTGGAAGTGGAGGTTTAGATCACAGCAGAACATTTTCTGCAGCATGTTCTTGTTGTCTCCATAGAGCATATTGGAAAAGACACAGATGTGATACTGATTCTTTTTAGCTAACCTGGTACAGAACTGGGCAACACTCCACATTTATTATTGCCTTCCACAATTGACTGGTGAAGTTTCTTCCAGTTTCTTCTCAAAATCATAATCAAGCCACCTCTTTTCTTTTGTCTTTGTATGAAAGTCACAGCCCTGCTGATGGTTGCAGCAAGGAAGAACATGGACATTTTTTTCTGACTATGGCCTGAAATCAGGTGTCTTTAGACTGATTAAGCAAAGACAAACAGTGGTTACATTTTAATTGGTCTAATTGGTTACATTTTAATTGAAGCATTTAACAAGTTGGTTAATTGTTATGGAATTAAAAAACCTTCATCTGAAAAAAATGTATGACATTTGTTCAGGTCAATTTTCTTAACATGTGAAGTATTAGGCAAAAATACGTCTTGAAAAGTGATCCTTAGAGACTCGTAGTTCATATTATTGTTTACAAATCAAATCAGTGTGCACCGTTGAATTGATTAATAACCATCCACACCAGAGAAAAATACTAATTGCCACTGTCCTCAAACCATGCTCCTCTGCACAAGCCACTTCTTACTTCCAACCCAGAGGGGGTTGGGATTCTTCCAGACACCAAAAAACACGCAGCTTCCTAGCCTGGGGAACCACCAAGTGCAGCCCCTCATCAGGAGAAGGAACTCCCCCCTAAGCCTCTCTAATAACTTGTAAAAGCCTTTTGACAGAACCATATTAGACACTGAGAAATAAGGAGGCTTTTTGAGAAACTACAGATAAAAGTAAAGATGTAATTTATTTATTTTGCAGTCAGGCTTTAAAACTGAAATTCAACTTTCCCATCATCTACCGTATATTATAGGGACACAGACTTGAACTTTCAGGCAACGACAATTACTCTGAAAGTGTCAACTCAACCCATAATTCATGAGTTAAATGCACAGGCTTAGTCAGGCTTTAGAAGGCTTCACTGTGTTGAGGCTCAAGGTAGCAGTCAGGAATTTTTCCTTTAAATGTGATAACTGATTACCAGCCCATGACTTGGGGAGTCCAAGCCAGTCCACTCCAGTTTGCACCAGTCCCTGGACTTTAGCTTCCATCAGTGCCTTTTTTATTGTCCTTTACTCATCTCCTGCAGCTCTTACTGCCTGGCAGCTGCTGCTGGAGCTTCTCTTCCCTAGTGACCTGGCGTGAACGCACAGCTCGCCAAAATTATCTGCAGTTTCATCAGTAACCAACACAATAATGACAAACCAAATAGCAAGGACTTCATGACAAACCAAAGGGAGTGTAAACACTGAGAAAACATGAAATGACACGTTGAAATATTAGCTCAGGCTCCTCTTTCTCTATATATAGAGTGACTTTTTCCCAAGTAACTGAAGAAAGCACCAGGAAAGACCTAGTCTGCAAGCGGAGATGACTACCTTTGAATGCAAGTTGGTATATGTTTATCTTTTTTTCCCCAAATAGAATTTTTTCAGTAGATATTTTTTTCCTTTCTGCTATTCTAAAAGACCTGTTGCACAAATTAAGTACAGAAAGAAAAATAAATCTGAAATAGATGTGGTTAAAATAATAGTATAAGGTCATATCTGAAAGATATAAAATATCTTGCAAGGAATTATTTTGAAAAAGCAAAGAAAACTGGATTTAAGAGCTTATTTATATTTAATGTCTGATACATAACAGGGAAAGACAAACCAAGGGAGTTCGGAGCACAGCAACAAAAAAAAAAGCTACATGATTTTATAGATGGAGGAGGGTTGGAAGACTGAAAAAGTCCTCCACAATAAAAGAGTTACAAATAAAGTATCTGAAAGATGTAAACACCAAAGGATGGAAAACAATCCTTTCTAGTCAAGGAAGTACAGGAACAGATACCCAGAAAAAGTAACAAAAAATGTTTTTAAAAGCAATTTTAGGATAAATATTAAGTTAAAAAAATCTTGCTGAATTTAAAATCTCTTAGACTGGAAAGGTCACCCAAGAGATGCAAAGGAAGAATCAAGCAGTGATGTTATCATACAGAATGGGGATGAGACTGAGAAATTTGCTGCAGGTGCAATATAAAATTTGCAGTTAGAACAGGGCTTACTAATTTTCTTGCTGATGGGAAGTTTCACGCTGACGTCAGGCATCTTTTGTAGCATGAAGGATAGGAGGGATGTCTAGTAGTAGAGGATTGTTGTCATTAAAGATATGAATGTGTCAAATACCAAATTTATTCAGAGCTGATGCCAATGATGTTGCAAGATGGATAAATTTGATGCCCATTCAAGCAATGGCATTTCTCTGATTAGAAATCAGCTTGTAAATGTTTGGCAGTCGTTGTTCAGCATTGCTCTTGAATATGATCTGTTCCAGAGACAGAAGTGCAGCATCATGCCATCATTGCTGGACAGAATATCACTATGATGCTCAGTAATGGAGACAGTTGGGAGTGGGAGGGATGGGGTGTGCATGTATCACAGTACTACACTGTAGGGGTATTCTTAAGCCTCCTATCAGGTATAGTTGTAAGTGAATAAACTATGAAAC